TCCTGAAGATTAAGTCATAAAAGACTAACAATTGCGCACTATTTGCAACGCATAAATACATAAATATCATGTACTCTTTTCCTCACTAGTTTTTCTCCCATTGGGTTTTCTAGTGTGGTTTTTAACGAGGCATGAGTATGATATAGTAATGACAATGAGGAAAAGTTGCAAAATAATTGCTTAAATGGACAAACCCCAAAATCCTGAAGATTATGCGGTTTGCGCCCTGAAGGCTTATGGTTGTACTCTTTTTCCCTTAACTAAGTTTTTCCCACAGGGTTTTCTTAAGTTAAAGTTTTTAATGAGGCGACCAAATACAATATATGTTTTTACATATATCATGTACTCTTTTCTTCAACTAGGTTTTTCCCACGTGGTTTTCCTAGTGAAGTTTTTAATGAGACATGAATATATTTTCTATTGTACTCTTTTCTTGTCTAGGTTTTTCCCACCGGATTTTCCTAGCAAGTTTTTTTTTACGAGACGAAATCGTGGTCAAATAATGTCCAAGGGGGAGTGTTATAATTCATCATCATTATGGACATTATTATTGTAACGTATGTAACTGTTATACATTTATTGCATCAATTTAATACCTTTGTATTATGTATATATACTCTATACTTAGCTTGTTGTAGATGGAGATGATAATGAAGAGACTATCATCCTTTCTCCCTCATCTCTCTATTCACTATTCTATTTTTTTCCTTTTAACATAAAGGACTAAAACAGCACAAAGTTAATACACAAAATACACAAATCATTAGATACGAAATTGACTAACTGAGTTTAAAAATTAAATGCAAATCTCCTTTTTTGTTTTGTTTTGTTTTTTTTTGTTTTTTTTTTTTTTTTTTCACTTTTTATAATTACTTTCCTTCTAAAGAAGGCATTCGCTGATTATCTATTAAGCATCGCATTGAAAATTATACTTTACCTGTAATGTTGGACATAGACAATTTTATAAGGATATTTCACCTTATATGTTATTGTTAGGAACATGTGTAATTTAGATTTTATTTTTTTTTTTTTTTTGAAAGGAAAGGATATCATTAAAATCAAGAGATTAAGTGTTCAATACAAGAAGGAATAGAAATTTTAGTCCCTAATTTATTTATGGGAAAATGACACTTTTTCTCCCTGAGTTATATACCTATAGCATTTTTTCCCCTTAAATTATTGAAGTGGCTGTTTTTCCCCCTGAAATGTTAAATGGACATATTTACCCTTAAACTAAATATTTAATTTATTTTTTTTTCTCCAACAAATTATGACCATAATTTGGTTCAAACTAAACAAACACTATAGCAACCAAACAGAAATATTTCAATTACAATTTAGAATCGAAATTCGATATTTAGAGTTTATTAAAATCGTGAACCGGAACGGACGGTTAATGTTCCGAACTGAAAAAATAAAATACATTTATTATTGAATTTAGACTATTTTAAAATAAAAAATAAAATTTTAAAATAAAGACGGTTCAAAATCGCGAATCAGATCCGGAACCGCCGGTTCACGGTTCAAGATTCAATTTTTTTGATAGATAATTTTAATAAATTGGCATTAAATATTGGGTTCTAGATCTGAATTATAACCGTAAACTATTAATTCGATTGCTTTAGTATCCGGTTCAATTCAAATCGAACCGTGGTCATTCCTACGTATACGCAATAATTTGTTGGAGTAGTAAAATAAATAAAATGTTTACTTTAAGGGTATAAATGTCAATTTAATATATCAGGGGGGGGGAAAAACACCACTTTTAGAATAATTGAGGGGGCTAATGTGCTTACCTAAATAATTGAGGGGGAAAAAGTGCTATAAGTATATAACTCAGGGGTAAAATGTGCCATTTTCCCTTTATTTATTTATTTATTAAACTTAGGAACTCTGTTCTCTAATTCGAATAGTCCGAATGTTAACCTGAAAGTTTACATTTCGGATAGTCAAAATAGTCCAAATGGAAACCCGAATAGTTACGCTTCAGACGAAGAGTCGAAGAGTTGAAGATTTTACGACGGAAAGGTTGCAAAGGCCGAATGGTGGAAGGGCCTACCTTTCGAGTAAAAGGAAATGTAAGAAGGAACGATTGGTAAGGACAACCATTCGTAACCGAAAGGTAGCAAATGTTAAAGGTTTGAAACGTTAACTCGAATAGTGCCAGTTAACCACTCGAAAAGAATTGCTCGAAACATTCTCTGAGCTAACAGTTCAAAACCTTAAAACGCTAGTGCTTTATAGTAAAATGTGACCAAGGCAAAGAGAGTCCTAGGTACACATCCGAAGGGAGATTTTCCTTAAAAAGGCGTTTACATTTGTGCATAACAAAAAGATATGTTCAGCGCAAATTAAGTAGTCTAATGGCTGAAAAGTCTGGCACATAAAGTTACTTTCCAAAAAATTCGATGGTCACTACCCGCTGGGTAACAAACGTTTGAAATGGATTTTCCTCAAACGGATCCTTTTCAATACGCCTATAAATACATTCATTCAAGACTTAAGAAGGTGTTGGTCTATTGAAGTGAAAATTACAAGTGATTCAAGCATTCTTAACAAAGTTCAAAACGAGACCAGTGAAAGGGATTTAATAAGCGCAAATTAAAAGCTATATCCAGATTTAGAAGCTTGGGCTACCTAAGGGAGAAGATCAAGTTCATCATCACGTACAACCAAGTCTTCTAGTTGGAGAATCAAAGAAACTTTTTCTTTGAAACCTTTGTAACTCTACTCGCCAGAAGTAGAAAGAGGCGGAGTAAACTCGGTGTTGAGTTGAAAAAAACTGTGAAGTTCAACGCCGGCTTGGTGTTCAAGGCTTGAACATTCTTTTGTATAAAAAAAAAAAAAAGAATTAGTGCAAACCTCCTTAGGAGATTTAAGAAGAAGAGTGGAGTAGGTTGAGATTTAGCCAAATTAACCACTATAAAAATTTGTCTCTCTCTATCTTTTTCGTTACAACTTCTATTCATACGCTAACGCGAGCGATCAAATCATAACTTTTTAAAAGAAGAAAAATTGCATGCAAACCACTTTAAAAGGGTTAATAATATTTTCGATGTGCATTCTCTACGAAACATTGAAGTAATCTTTCGCTTCACTTAAACGAGTGGTTAAAATTTTCAAAACCCTACAAGTCGATTTAGTCCCCCTTCTAAACTTGTACCCTAACCCTTTCAAGCCCAACATCTATATATAATTTAACACTCTGTGTTATTTAGACATCTTATTATTCTTCCAAAAGGCTGAACCCCAACCCTAAGGACCCCCCACATCCTGACCCGACAGAGCATTTAGGAGGATAGACATCTTATTATTGTATTTAATTAATATATGAAAAGATTTTATTCCATTTTCTTATTTTATTATTTTGTAAAAATGTTAAAGACTTTCTATTACTTTTATATATATATTCAAGCCAGGATTTATCTGGTTTCACAACAGTTAAAGAATTATGAATAATTTCAGGTACGAAACTGATTTGTAGTTGTGAATTTTTGATTGAATTTTAGTCATTTTGGATTTAAGGTATCGAAAAAGAAGAATTTCAAAGGAACACTGACCACGTAAACAGTAAAGTAGGCAGACTATTTCTTTAACGCGCCCAACCGCTTCTACATTGGTTCTCACCACCCAACCCTACGCGCACCCCACCCCACCCACAAAACGCTTACGTTTCAAAATTACAGATCATCACCTACACAAGTATTCTCAAACCTTCACACGCCAAGATCTATTCAAAACTATGACGTAATCACATTCTAATTCAATTGAAATATGCTTCTTAATTTTTTTTTAATTGTTTAAATTATCATCTCCCTTTAAATCTAATATTACATTATACTTTATGATTGTAACATGATAGTCAAAATACTAAAAATATATGGTATATTTCATAGACAAAATTAAACATGTTAAATTTTTTTTTATTATTAATTAGAGTAATGCTTAATACCTTTCATGATTTTCTCCTCCAAATTATCCTTTTAGTTAATGATGATTTAGTCAATTTATGAGCACGTAATGATTGAAAGTTATATCAAGAGAGAAAATTGAGGGAGGGATCAGAAACATTTTAATAATGAAACAAGAATAAAATAATACATGTAGTAATATTCCATTTGATTTTTAGTACAAGTGTACAACACTAGTTTTCATAAAGAGCAATTTTACTAATATTCGTGGGACTAAAATTGTTATTTGTTCGAAAATTAAGTAAAAAAAAAGAAAGTTGTCATTTTCATAAAGAGCAAACATCAATTTTGGTTCCACGAGTATTAGCAATATGACAATTTTGGTTCACATGTTTAATTCCTATTAATTTTCAACTACGATTATTGTTTTAGTACCAATTTAATCCAAGGCTATTGTTTTAATGCCAAAATTAATCACGCTGATCACCCATTTGTTTAAGACATGTCGAAACATGAAATTATTAAAGGTATTTTCGTCCTTTCCAAATTAAGATCTCAATTTAAACATGAATAAATAGATTTAAGCCCTATGATCGATCCCAATTCGTAATTCTCCTTATCATCCTATCTTAATTTGAGAAGAATAACTGCAAATTGGATATATCTTAGGGCTTAAATTCATTTATTCAACCTCAAATTGGGATCTTAATTTGAAAAGGACGAAAATACATTTAATAATTACATATTTCAGCATGTCTTAAACGAACGACTAACCGACGTACTGAATTTTGACCCTAAAACAATAATTGTGGATGGAAAGTGATACTAAAACAATAGCAGTGGATACAAATTAGTACTAAAATAATAATCGTGATTGAAAATTAATATAAATTAAATATGTAGACTAAAATTATCATTTTTACTAATACTTGCGGGACCAGAATTGGCATTTGCTGATATTACAAATTAGGGTTAATGTAAATATGTAATAGTTTGGAGGAGCGTGAAGATAAAGTAATTTTGACCCAACCCGATGTCTACCCTGACCCCGCCTCTTGGCATATATAAATAGGCGTGTGGAGTCTAATAAACCCTCCCATCTTCAACACCACAACCCTTAATAACGCCTCCCCTCTATATGCAACAATTACATTCTGCACAAAATCAGCAGAAGAAGAAGAAGCTTAGATAGATCATGAGCAACGTTCCAAAGTCTCTAACCGACTCTTCTCTCACCCTCTTCAATCTCGCCATCTCCGCTTCCGATCCCTGGCCTTTCTCTCTCATCATCTCCTCCTTGTAACCCAGTCCCCTAGCTACCTTTCTTCATCGATCGCTTAATTGATTCCCGTCCGGCGACTTCTAGATCGATCTCGAACGCCGATTTCGATTTCGATTTCGATTTCTCTTTTTTTTTTTTTGTTTGTTTAGTTTAACAGAATTTTTTGATCGAGATGGGTAGCGGAAGCGGAGATGTTTTTCACGTTCATCACGTGAAGCAGAGAGAGGATCTTCGGAGCATACCGAAAGGGTGTTTAGCGATTATGGTGGGGCAGGGGGAGGAGGAGCAGCAGCGCTTCGTCATCCCTGTCGTCTACATCAACCACCCTCTGTTCTTGCAGCTTTTGAAAGAGGCCGAGGAGGAGTACGGATTCAAGCACGACGGTCCGATTAATATCCCCTGCCACGTGGAGGAGTTTCGTCATATCCAGGGTATGATCGACAAGGACACTTCTCACCACCACCACCATCATGGCCATGGCCGCCACCACCATCACCACCACTCCGGGTGCTTCAAGATCAGAGCTTAATCAATTATATTTGCTGATTCAAAGTGGTGTAAACTGTAAAGTTGTTATGGTTACGGCTTTTGGTTTTGGCATTCCATTTTCTTTGTCATTATGTTGTTGTCGACGGTTATATGATATTGACGAAAATTAATTATACCATTAACATCTATTATTACCCTTTTTTTCCCTTTCTTTTTTTAAGTTGTAATTCATGAAATAATTTTCCAAAAAAAAAAAAAGAATTTTACTGTTCTTTATTTTCTATGAATAAATCAGTGCTTCAGGATTACGCCTTTGGATTTTCTTGATTTGGTTTGAGAAAAAAGGCAAGGGTTATATATATATATATAGTCAGGTTCTCGGGAAGATTGTGCGTTCACGGTGTGTGTTGTGCATTGATGTATTTTATTATGATACATTTTTAAATACTGTGTGGTGTATTTTTGCATATTTAATGGTGAATCTGTACCACGAAGATATGGAATATATGCTATTGATAATGGTTTAGCTGGTTGGAGGATAGCTTAAGAGAGAAGATAAGACTTTGAAGAATTGTCCAATGGAGTTACTTAGAGATATCGAAATTGGTATGGTTGTGAGCCCGGTGAGAATGACTTTTCAATGTTTTTCTGGATTTTTATTTTTAATGGTTTTCTTGCTTTCCAAACACGGTGTAGTGGTGTACACGAAAGTCACAATTTGTGGGAGCCTTTGGTACTTATTCCTTCCCAAACGGTTTAGTTCGTCGGCTGTGATCGGACAGTTGTTATACAATAGATAAGGGTCCACCTTGCAAGGTGGATCTTGACCCTAAGTTATGTATTTTAGTATTAGAATTGTGAACTTCTAAAATATAAACTGTGTTTTTAAATTTTGTGAATTTATAATACAATATAGGATCATCACAAATTATGAATTTTAAAAAAAAATAAATTGTGAATATTTAATATGTAAATTGTGTATATTTGAATCCGGATCCACAAAATAATTTATTGTGATCGAAGTAGTTAAAAAGATGTACAATCATGAACATTCAAATTTAGTCCTAGAGGCTTAGTTGGTTCGTTGTCTGACTTAAAAAGTTGAAGGCGACATTGTAGAAGCCAAGTATGAAAAATGTATGAAAAAAAAAACCCAAGTATAATAGAAGCCTAGAAGGTCCATTGTGCTTATATCTGTAGAAGCTCTAAAAGCAAGGTCTTATGAGCAAAACTATTATCACCTAAGTTAAATAGAAAAAAAAATTCAATTTTGAAAGTTAATATTCGGTGAATTATTTTATTTAATATTCAATGGGAAGAATTAAAATTTAGTAAAATCGGTGTGGTCAAGGAGTCTTGGTCAATTAAATCCAAAGAATTGCGACATTAATCGTGCAAAGTGGGGAAGGTCAATTTAATCATTATATTGATTAATGTAATTTCATTTTCCCCCTTTGCCATGCCCATAGTGGCAATGCTATCATTATCCCAAATTCTTTGGCACCCTTTAATTTTCCAGATAAGCATAATTGCGGCAGTTGCTTTTTCTTTTTGTGATTTCTTTAATTCACTTTCGGTACGATTCTTAATATTTCTGGTCCATTCAATATTAGTGCGCAAATTATTCTGTGAATCTAAATCCAAATGTGGATAATTTATCTTTTAAAAATTTATAATTTGTATATTACGAACAGATAATATATATAGAATTGATTATTTGTTTGAGTTAATACCCAAAATCGTCCTCGACTATAGTGGTTTTTCTCAATTTCGTCCTAAACGACTTTGGTGACCTAATATCGTCCCAGACTTTTGTGTTTCGCTCAATTTAGTCCTCCATTTGTTATTCCGTCAAATTGGTGTTAAATAAAGGGACAATTCAGTAATGTTAATATTGATCTCTCTTTACTTTCAACTTGTGAAGTGCGAAATTCCTCTTTCTTGTACAAATTACACCCAGAATTACTCCCGGATTTACAAATCAAATTTTATATTCGCACTTTTAGGAGTAATTCTGGGAGTAATTCGTTAAAAAAAAAAAAAAAAAAAAGAGAGATTTTGCAGTTACATGTCTACGAGTAAAGAGATGCCAATATTAAAATTACTGAATTGTCTATTTATTTAACATCAAATAGACAGAATAACAAATGAGGGACTAAATTGAGCAAAAACACAAAAGTCTGGGACTAAATTGAGCGAAACACAAAATTCTGGGACGATATTAGGTCACTAAAGTCGTTTAGGACGAAATTGAGAAAAACCACTATAGTCGGGGATGATTTTGGGTATTAACTCTTATTTGTTTTGTATTCACAAATTCTTTTTAAATAATATAGTTACACAATATTAACAGATTAAGATTTGATGATTATGTATTATATTCACAAATTCTCATCTATATGGCTGTTATTTGTTTGGATGTAGAAACATAATTTATATTAAGTTTACAATTTCAATACTAAAAATACACGTCGTTTAGGACCAGGGTCCATTTTACCTATATATATCATATAACTGTCCATATTAGTGCGATTACGTTAATATTCTTATCATTCTCTAATTGCTAAGTAAACAGCGACTTTTTACCTATCCTAATTTAATATGATTCTTAATTTTCAATATTTTCTTAACATGAGACTCGATGAATCCTTCATCCAAAGAAATATTTCTTTTTAAGGAAAAAAACATTAAAGTTTACGCATACCATATAATATTTTTAAAAGTTTTTTAACATTTCAATTCATTTTTGTTTATTTTCATAAATTAGCTGATATGATTACGAGTCATAATCAAATAAATTAAGGGTTGAGAAGGGGGAGTTAGCAAAGTTAGACAAGATTTACATGTCATAATCAAATAAATACATTAAATTATAATTCAAAATTTGATGCTGTTTCATTTTATTTTTTACTTTTTTTACCTTCCAATCTTAAATTAATATTTTTCTTGAGATAACTCTAGTCGAGTTGGTTGATGATTGGCTTGGTGCCCACAAGTTTTCAAGTCGAATTTCTTGTGGGAGCTGCCTCTTAGCTTTCCTTCTCAACTTGAGCGAATCAACTATGGGCAATTTAGATTGGTTAGACTAATTTACCTCATTGAGGTAATTTCTAAATTGAGATTACAATGTGAACTTCACCCATAGCGCACATTCAGGTAGTGACTGGTTGTGAACTTTCTCTTGAATCAAAGTAGCATTTCTCATATAGTTTGTTGATATTTATTTATTTTTTTTACTTTTAATTTTTTTTTTACTTAAAATTTTAAAAATCAAAATTTAATCAAATGACCGGTCAAAGAAACACTAAAATGGGTTAGCAGGTGGGGAGTATTCTCTAAGAATAATTTCAATTAAGCCGGTTCGTTAATCTATACTATTTCATTACACAGTTTGCGCACATAATTTGAATATTTCATGACAACTTCATAAGATCAAATATTTAATTAAAAAAAAAAAACACCTATGATTTTTTATGCCCAAACAACCGATGCCCTCACCAACCAGGGTTAGATCATGTGACCTCTCATTTGAAGTAATAAAAAAAGTGTCATCACATTACATAATAATCATATATGGTTGTAAAATGCAGCCTAGGCGGCCGTGACGTTTTTGCCCTTAGGCGCCACCTGGCTTAGTCGGTTGGCTTGGCCGACTCGGCACCGAACTGGCCGAGTCGGTCGAGTTATTATTATTTTTAAATTTTATTTATTGTTTTTTTCCCGCAATTCTAGAGTCATGTGTAATAATTTTTTATTTGTGTGTTTACATACATACATACATACATACATACATACATACATACATACATACATACATACATACATACATACATACATACATATATATATATATATATATATATATATATATATATATATATATATATATATGAAAAAGTTCCAATGCGGCGAGGGCTTTAGGTGCGGCGGTGCGACGAAATTGCATAATACACCAACAGTGTTAACAAAATGCACCAACATTGTAAGAGAAACACACCACAATGAAATGCAAAAAAATATCAAAAATACACAACAGACCCAAAAAAAATATACCATATAACTCACCACCCTCAATGGTGTATTTCTGAACACTGTATAATATTTTTAATCACACCTAATGGTGTATTTTTGGTGATGCGTACCTAATTTGTGTGTGATTTTGTGGTGTATTTTCGTAATGTTGATGGGTGTATATTTGTTGAGCTATTGGTGACGCCACACCGCCGCACTTGAACCTTCCTCTATATATATGTGTGTGTGTGTGTGTGTGTGTTGTTTTCCACCTCGGTGGGCCTTTGGCGACCGCCTAGCGCGTAGCGTATTGCATAACCTTGACAGGGTGTTTGGTTGAAGGGATTTTAAATTCCCTTTCCACTTAATTCTCACCTAATTCCAAAGGTCACAAAATTCCCTTGTTTGGTAGAAAGGAATTGCAATTCTCCCATTTTCATTCTCCCATTTTCATGGAATTAAAATCCCATGTCCCCCTGGTATTTTAATTCCTGGGATTTTAGGAAGAAAAAAAGAAAGTGATAAGTCAAAATTACCCCTCCCTTTTTAACTTAAAATTAATGCTTAACAATAACAATGGACATTTTGGACTTTATACTACTTATTCCCTTTCAATTCCCATGTATACCAAACATTAGAATTGAAATTCCCAGTAATTCCCACTTTATTCCCAGTAATTCCTCTCCCATGGAATTGCAAATCCTTTCCCACGTAATTCCCCCTCTCCAACAAAACGCCCTGTGATAGTTCGTAGTTGACAAATATTTATAACTACTAAAATTACGTATATTAGTTTGTACAAGATTTATGTAAAAGAAGTCTTGTATAACAAGTTTTTGGCAAGTTAAGTTAACGATAAAATAGTCACAGAAATCAAGTTGGATACAAATACACTCAATTAAGCTATATATAAATCGATCGATCATGTGACGTGCCAAAATGGAGTAGGTCCATGTGAAGAGATTTTGATTATATGTATTTAGAAAAAAAAGAGAAACTTAAAAGGGTTATATTGAAGGAGGGTCCTGGATTTTCTTGGTACAAAAATGGGATGAACTGTCAACAACTAGCAAAAGCATGTTATTTCCTGATCAGCTGTTTCAATTTCTCCCTAAAAAGTGGGAACATATGTTAGGATTAGGGGCTCCATCGTTAAGTAAGTTGGATGCCACCAAATGCATTGCATTGACTTTTGAACCGTTCTATTGTTTTATAATTTCCAATT